GGAGGAATCTTAAGCTCTAGAATCTTCCTAGGGGTGCTCAACCAATATGAGAATCACAAACTTTCACTTAACCTGGCCCAACCCACAGTCTACATCCCCAAAGCCCTCACTCAGGTGCAAGACTCTCACTTAAATGGCAGCAACTTTCCCATTCTTTCCAAACTGGGGGTATTAGGAAGGACTTGGAAGGGGAGGAAAATGGGCTTCTGTATGAAGCGGGAGTCTGGGCGTCAAAATTCCAAGTACGTCATAAAGACGGTCATGCAAAATTGAGTACTGGTGGGGTCTACCATCAAGGAGGCAGTTAGAGGCTAACCTTGGGGCCTCTCCCATCTCCAAGGAGCTCTCCTCACACACATTCTGAATTAGATTCATCTCTTTCATTAACATCAATAGGCTCCAAATACCTTTGTGTACTTATTATTACCTGGCTTTAATGGATAATGAAATTGTGGCATAATATTGCTAACACCTGAAGGGTGTCTAATGGAGAACATGGGCTGAAACTAAAGTGTTTTTGCTTCCTTTTCTGTGGGATTTAAAGGCACCAGTTCCTTTAGTCCGTTAGGAGTTATGAGCTCTAGGTAGGGCAGGCTTACAGAGAATCGTGTCCTTCTGAGCAGGTGGCACATTCCCCTCACAGAAGCAGGAGTCGATGGCTCTTATGTGATTTCTGAGAGGAGGTCCGTATGAAGACCGACCCCAGTGGAATGGCCCCATTTGAGCTAATGTCACACCCTACTCTATTGGAACTAAAAGTAGCATCAGTAACAAACTCTGATGTAGTTCAGTGAACATCTGTCTTCTCAGGCTCAATGATTGTTGGAATTTGATCTCTGTTGCTGGGGTAAATTACTGTGACCGAAAGCTACTTGGGGTAGAAAGAGTGTATTTGGCTCATGTTTCCAGGTTACATTCTATCATCAAAGGAAGTCAGGGTAGGAATGCAAGGCAGGAACCTAAAGCAGAAACCCTAGAGAACAGTGCTTGTACTACTACGGCTTGCTCATTCCTAGGCTCATGCTTGGCTAGACTTCTTATACAGCCCAGGACTACCTGCCTAGGGATGGGGCAGCCCATAATGGGCAGGGCCTTTCTGCATCAAGTAATAATCAAAACAATCTCCCAAAGACAGAGCCATAGACCAATCTGGTCTAGGCAGATCCTCAGTCAAGATTTTTCTCCCAGATAACTCTGGACTGTATCAAATTGTCAGTTAAAGCTAACTAGGACAATGGCAGGCATAGAAGGTTTAGAGAGGAATAAGAAAGGTTTAGGCTCTTGGTGTCTAACATAGACATCAAAATCTGCCTAAGGAGGTACAGCTCAATTTGTAGGGTATTTGTCTAGCATGCAGGAAGCCCTAGGCTCAGTCTCTAGCACTGCATAAAATAGCACCTAAACTTAGGAAAAAGTCTTCATTTGTCATCATGCAAATGAGAGAGGGACTCTGGTTTTGGTTCATTCTGGAACAAGGTTCTTTTCTGCCTACAGACTCACCAGCCACCAAAGTCTGGCACCTGATCTCAGAAGACCAGGCAAGGGCAGGGACTGGTTATATTAAGGCACTAAGTCTCCAGTATTTACAGAGGACCAGGCAAGGACAGAGACTGGTCCCTCTCATGGCACTAAGTCTCCAGTATTTACAGTAGCTTGTCAGCAGTCTCTTCATGCTCCATGTTTGCTGAACAAAGGAAAAGCTGAAGATCGGCTGAGGTAACAATACAAATTTCAGAAAACAACAATAAAATTAGAGGTTTGGTTTGTTCTTTACTTCATTTTTAAAGGCTGTACCAGCTAATAGGGGAGCATTAACTTAATCCTTAGGAGGCATTGACTCTAAAACAAACAGCAAAGTAGGTCCTTTGTTTTAGAAGAAACCCCAAACTGTGGTGCTATTTGGTTTATCTTAGAAGTGTTTGCATCCTTGCTAAGGACAGAATAGATTGGAATCTTCTAGAAGGCATAGTCAGCTTTCCTTGTAAGATAGATGGAAATAGGAAAATTTCTTTGTTTTATGCCACAGCAGAAACTAATTACCTAATGGGATACCTATATCTTTCTACTTTCAGTTTCTACTGAGACCTAGCAAAGATCCTTCCAAGTTCAGGACCATGTGTATATGTACAGGTCAAAAGCCCACGAATTTCATAAGTCTTCTCAGACCTCCCTCCACCTGGACACTTGGGGACCTTTGGACTGATAAAGACCTTTGGTCTTCAAGGAACCACATCACTCACTCGCCTTTGGTTTTAGCCTAGATTTATGTTTTCTGTCTGCATCTGGGTGGAGGGGAATCATCTTTACCTGTGCTAATTACATCAGAACTTGATTTAGAAGGACAGCAGTTCAATTGTACTTGAGATGTTTGGCAAGGCAAAACCATCTTGTTTCTTTAAAAGGAAGGGGGAGGGGCTGAGGAAATAGTCCAGTTGGTATACTGCTGGACTTGTAAACAAGAGTACCTGAGTTCAATTCCCAGAACATGAAAAGCTCAGCAGCTCATGGCCGTGTGTGCTTGTAATCCCAGCACTAGGGAGGTGGAGACAGGCAGATCCCTGGGGCTCCCTAGATAGTTAGCTTGGTCTACTTAGTAAGTTTCAAGCCAATGACAAATGGTTCCTTGGGAATAACACCTAAAGTTGCTTTCTGACATGTGCACATGTTCATGTGTACACACATACCCCCCCACATACATACATACATACATACATACATACATACATACACACATACATACATACACACATACATACATACACATATACACAAGAAAGTAAGAAGAGCTGGGCGGTGGTGGCACACGCCTTTAATCCTAGCACTTGGGAGGCAGAGGCAGGCAGATTTCTGAGTTCGAGGCCAGCCTGGTCTACAGAGTGAGTTCCAGGACAGCCAGGGCTACACAGAGAAACCCTGTCTCGAAAAAACCAAAAAAAAAAAAGTAAGAAGAAATTGAGTCAGGGAGAGGCTGACTGTTGCATACAGGATTATACAGGTTTCCACACATAGACTCTGTTTCCTTGACTACTGATCTGGGTCCTTCCCACTTATGCAACATGCCTTGTCCTCGTCTTCAGGGTGACATTCATAGATTTCTCTCCCACCTCATGCAATCTCTGCTATGAAGTCTTCCAGGGTGATCCCACTTCTTCCCTCCACCCAAGCAGGTATGATCCCTCCATCCCACACTCTAAGAGGCCAGATCACCAGCATCCCAAGTTGGACCACAACAGAAAGCCCTCTGGGTCTATGGCCACTCAGTGCTCTTCCTCCCGCCACTGTGTCTCATAGCTACCTCATCACAGTCAACAGAGATGCAGGATGATGATGGCTCATTGTGGGCTTTTTTCTTGTTGACTGCACTTTGATAGAAATGTGTTTCAACCAAACTATTGCAAATCAATGTGTGTTGCACTGGTATAGATATTTGCAGCCAATTATGTTTAATGTGGAAGACAACAGCCAGACTACAATCCACCAAACAGCTCTGGCCTGCCAAGCTCCACTGAATCGGGACATGTTCCCGGATCTGATGGCAAGAGAGCCTCAGCTCTCATCAACAAGGTGTGTGGTGGACTCCCCTAGACAACCTGCCACCCATCACCAGGCTCTCTACCTCCTCTGTGTTTATGCTCATTTCTTTGTATTTTTTTTCCCAGAGCAGTCCTGTCTCCTCTCCAATAGCTGGGCAGAGCCTGATTTGTAGCTAGGCTGTAGCTGACAAGTAGCACTAGGAATCAGAAGACGTGGGGTTACATCACAGCTCGGCCACTGACTCAACTTACTTACGGATGCAGTGCTTCAAAAATCTATGAGATGGAGGGTGTTATCTACCCTACATGTTGTAAATGAAAAGAAAACAATATAACAGATGTAAAAGCATCCAGCACATGATCTAACACATAGAAAGCAGTCAAGTGTCCCATTGTCTGGCAAACCTAAGAAATTGGAGCTGTTAAGAATGCTGGTCCAGAGCTAGAGAGATGGCTCAGCAGTTAAGAGCGCTGTCTACTCTTCCAGAGGTCCTGAGTTCAATTCCCAGCAACCACATGGTGGCTCACAACCATCTGTAATGGGGTAGGACGCCCTCTTCTGGTGTGTCTGAAAACAGGAACAATGTGCTCATATACATAAAGTAAACAAATACATCTTTTAAAAAAAGAATGTTGGTCCAAATTCAAGAGCTAAGGGATGAGTGAGGATGCTGGTCTGCTCCATCAGGCTTTATTCAGGAGATGGATTATTAACAGCCCTGAGGGAAATCATCACCTCAGAGATGGGACCTTGATTCTCTTGCCTCTACCTCCCAAATGCTTGGATAACAGGTGTGTACCAACATTTCCAGTTTATGCTGTACTGGGATAGAACCCAGGGCTTTATACATGTTAGAAGGCACTTTATCAACTGAGCTACACCCCCAATTATAACCCCAGCACTGGAGGACAGAGATGGGCCAGAGAACTCACAAGCTAGCTAGCCAAGTACTGAACTTCTAGTTTACTGAGATACCCTGTTTCAGGCAATGACACAAAGAATGATAAAGGAGGGCACCCGACACCCTGCTCTGGTTTCTGCATGTGTCTGCATGGACATGTATCTGTGCACATATGCACACACAACAGCATTGTTAGGTCTATTGAAAATTTACCTTTCTATCTTTTTGAACCACAAAATAGCCGTGTGTGTGTGTGTATGTGTGTGTGTGTGTGTGTGTGTGAGAGAGAGAGAGAGAGAGAGAGAGAGAGAGAGAGAGAGAGAGAGAGAGGTGTGTGTGTGTCTTGTAATGTAGTCCAGGCTGGCTTTCAACAAGTAGCAATTCTCCTGCTTCAGCTCCATAAATTCTGAGATTATAGGCATTTACCAGCACACCTGGCTGGTTTCCTACCATAAACCACATAGTCATTTTTCATCATGCACGAGGGGTGGGGCTTAAGTGCCATGTGCTCAGTCAAGTGTTAGGTCTTCTACTTAGACTGGAAAGTTCCCTTGTTCCCTGCCAGGTAGTGATTCGAAGATGTCCGTTGGCCTATGTCGTGAGCCTCTTGATTCCTAGCATCTTCCTGATGCTCGTAGACCTGGGAAGTTTCTACTTGCCCCCCAACTGCCGTGCAAGAATTGTGTTCAAGACCAATGTGCTGGTGGGCTATACAGTCTTCAAGGTCAACATGTCTGATGAGGTGCCAAGAAGCGCAGGGTGCACGTCTCTGATTGGTAAGCAGCCCCAATGTCACCTGACACCCTCCTAGACCATTCCTGGCCAAGATCTGCATGTCAGATGGAAGACTACCGCTTACTCCCTTTTCTCTGCTCTGGTCCTTCCACAGGGGTCTTCTTTACCGTCTGCATGGCCCTCCTGGTTCTCAGTTTGTCCAAATCCATCTTGTTGATCAAATTCCTCTATGAGGAGTGGCACAGTGGGCAAGAACAGCCTCTTATGTGCCTTCGAGGGGACTCCGATGCCAATGAGTCTAGATCGTACCTCAGGGCTCCAAGTGCTGAGGCCACAGGTTTGTGAGTAGCCCTGGTACCCCCATCCAGTACTTGGCTGGCTGCTTGCTTTGTTATGCTAAGAACCTGGTTCTACTGGGGAAGCATCAGACCATGCCTGGACTGAGTGAATGATGGAAAACATGTGCTTTAAAGCTCCTGTTCTGTGAGATTTCTTCTTCGAACTGAAGACTGCCTCCTGCTGGAGATTATTTTAGTTTGAAAGTCAGGTCTTTCATTACCTTTAGTTTGTTTCATTTCCACAAGAGGCATGAACCCAAAAGTTCATGAATTCTGGTATATAAGCACACACACACACACACACACACACACACACACACACACACCACACAAAGGTGGGGATAAATATGAAGAATTGCGTTCTGGTTGCTTTATATAAAGAACTTTAAGAATCACCCTAGCTCAGGAAATCTCCTAGATAGATGCAGCCTCCTCCACACACACCTTGACACAGTGCATCTCTGCCATGTTTCCTGGGTGTTCCCTCAGCAAAGCTGTGCCTGTTCTAACCAGGCAGCGTGAGAGTCCCCAACTCCAGCAATGACTTTTCCTTAAAGAATAAGAGCAAGTAGCTTCTGGTTCATTCAAAGTGTTTCCCTCTATCACACAGAGTCCCCGGTCGGTCAGGAACACCAGATCCCATCAGATACTCTGAAGAATTTCTGGTTCCAGCTCCAAACCATCAACAAGTCTCTCCGAACTCGGGATCAGGTTTACCAGAGGGAGGTGGAATGGCTCGCCATCCTGTACCACTTTGATCAGCTGCTCTTCCGAATCTACCTTGCCGTGCTGGGGCTCTATACTGTCACCTTATGCTCTCTCTGGGCACTGTGGAGCAGGATGTGACAATGGAGACTGCTGGTCTCACTTTATATGGAGTCACCACATGTAGGGAAAGCTGAACAGTGGAGAGGGTTTGAAAAGGAAGGGGTGGGTAGGTTTTAAAAAAAAAAAAACGCCTGCAGGAGGCTATTGTTTCTTTTCAGTGACTACAGACACAAGCATCTTATTTGCTAGTGACTAAACCAGTAAACATATATGTCCATAATAAAGATGTATAAATAGAATAGAGCATGCAGCAGCAAGCAATCTTTCACCCTCTCTGAACCATCAGCAACTGCACACACTTGGGTTTAAGCAAAAATAGTTTGTTTTTAGATTTTTGAAGCCGGGTCTCTTATAGTCCAGGCTAACCTTGAACCCCTGATACTCTAGCCTCTACCTTCCAAGTGCTAAGATTGCATATATTGTGCTACCACACCCAGAATATGTCGTTTGATATATTATGCTTCAACAGTCTATATGGTAAGCCAAGTCAACTTGGCTTAAGCCCTGCTCAAACCAGCTTAAATCCCCCAGGGTCATCAATACATGGCTCTATCTCCTCAATTCTGTCTTTGGTCTCATGTTGCCTTATATCCTCCCCTTAAATATTTGGTAGCCTCTTTAACGCATGAGTGTATATGAGGAGAAAGAGGGAAAAACAGATGATAGACAGACAGACAGACAGACAGTCAGTCAGACAGTCAGAGAGAGATTATCCAATAGGCCACATGCTTCCAGCCCCTGACACTGTGCCTGGTTCTATCCCTGTTCATTTAGGAAACCTCAGACTTCACTTCAGTTTGCCTTATTTAAAACAGGGGCTGTTAATATTTACTCTCTCTATATCATAGACTTATGAGGGCAAAATCAAGCCAATAGCTCAATGGCATCTTGAAAAGTACATAATAGATGACGAAAATAAATTTGAGACTTGCCTGCTACCAACAGAGGATTTCTGGCTGGAGTCTTTGGTGTGAGTGCGGGCTTCCGGTTTTCGGTTTGCTCTTTCTGCTTCCCCCTACACCTAGCTCAGGTCCTTAGAGTTCTACATGTGGGCATTCTGGAGTAATAATCACAAAACATTTCATTCTAGCTCACTGCTTGACGGACAAGTGTCTGATGTGCTTTCCCAAGTCAGAGGGAAAAAAAAATCTACCCAAGGCCAGACATCCCATTCCCTGGGCTTCTGCATCTCTATCCATCACTGAGGGTGGTCCTCAGATGGCCAGTGGGCAGAACGACACAGCAAGGCTTAGAGACATCATACAGCCTGGTGCTTCCAGCACAGGCCATGAAAGTCCGAAGCTGTTTTCTAGAAACCTATTCCAGGACTAAAATTGCCTTTAAAAAAAAAATCTGCCATCCCATCCCCACCCTGAAGAAAAAGAATTTAAATTCCAACAGCCTTTACCTGCACCCCCTCTTTCATTACCTCCCAGTTAGTGCTCAGCGCCAATTGTCCATGAAATTCCACTGCTGCCGTTAATGAAATGGGGAACGCAAAAAGTTTGTGAACAGGAAGTGTCCATGCAAACTCCACCTGTTTCCTTCTTGACTTCCTACTTTTTTACCATTGGCCTCCTCTGCTTCTATGGTGTCGTTAGCCTCTACATTGATCCTGGCCTTCTCCGCTTCCTCCCCCTGTTATCAGAGTGGGAAGTCAGAAAGGCATGGCTGTGGCATTTCCTCCTTCCTAGACGCATGCTGGAGGAGTCAGAGCCTGGAGGTCTGGTCCATCGCTGTTTACCCAAGGGAGCTCGAACTTCATTGCTCAGACCACAATTTGACTTACTTGAAATTGATGCTATAAATATTTACTATCTCCATGTCACAGACTTCTGAAAGCAAAATGGAACAACTTAATGACATTTCAAAAAGTCAATAACAGATGACACTATAAACAAGGGACTGCCTGCCATCGAGAGAGAGAGAGAGAGAGAGAGAGAGAGAGAGAGAGAGAGAGAGAGAGAGAGAGAAGTTCTG